CCGCGCCTGCAGTTCCCGGGCTGCGGATTCTCCCGCCCGCCTTCGCCTCCCGGGGCTTCGGCCCGGCATCCCAGCGCCGGGGGACCCCCCGCGAGAGAGCTCCGCTCCCCTTCGCCCCAACAGGAGCCCCGCTTGGTCTCGCGCTGCTGTCGCCTTTGCAGGCAGGGGAAGGAAGACGGGAAAGCCGCTCCTCAAAACAGACCCTGGGACAGAGGGGGTCGTTTTCCTGCCCTCGGTGGGCGCGCTCCGCGGAAAAGCGGCGCGAGCGGCCCCTGGGTCTCCTCCAGGCTGCGTGCCCCCCGCCCCCGGTCACTGCGCAACAGCGCGGCCTCAGTGCCCGCCGGCGACCGGCGGGGCCTCCTCCTTCCCCTTCCCGTCCCGCCAAATGCGCTTCGCTGACATCACTGCTTCGGGCTGCTCCCCTGCAGGGCCGACGACCTTGGTTCGGCAGTTTCGGCGGGGCGCTGCCAGCCCGGTAGCCCAAACAGGGGCTGTTACTCCCTGGAAAGACCGGGTGAGATGCCAGGGGAAGCAGCCCACAGGGATAAGGCGGAGCCCCTCTCCCAAACCCGTTTGCCCGAGGCAAGGCCCGCGCGTCCTTTCCCAGGGTCTTCCCTCGTTCCCACGTGCGAGGTGCGGGGGCTCCCCCTGCCCCAGTCCGCGTTAAGGCCATTAGGCGCATCAGTGCCTTGGGGAGCCCGCGGGACCCGATGCTCCCCGCGTTTCAGCGAGGCCCGCCGGTCTGGTTGGCGTTCTGTCGCCGCCCCCGGGCGGAGTCTAGCCGCGCGTCGCAGCCAATGAGAAGGGAGAGAATCCCGGCAACGTGGAGTTGTCAGCAAAATGTAAACACAGCCGGTTTGAAGGGTGGCGGAAGAAGGAAGCGCTGCTGTGCCTTCAACGCGGGGACTGTAGAGCAATCGTGGCTTCTCCGAGCAGGAAGGGAGGTGCAATATTTCCTTCGGAGGTTAAGACTGCGAAGCTATGCACCCTTACTTGGGAACAAGCCCCATTAAACCCACTGCGTTGGCTGACAGGAGCGCAGGGTGGCATTCGGCTTTAGGGGAAGAAGTGGAGTGGCGTTCTCCGGCATTCTGCTTTCCTTTTGCACCTCCTGAATACTTTCATCGGATAGGGGAAAATTCCTCCAGAGGAGGGAATTTAGCCTTGGACTTTGGAGTTTATCTCCTGCTGGTGCATTACTTGGACTTGAAAATCCAACCATCTTAATTTGTCTTCCCACACACCTTATTAGCCTGTTACTTCTCCTGGCAGATGCTCTTTGCTCCTTCAGCCCAAATGACGGTGAGCCTTGACTTCGGCTCCAAGGTCCACCCTAACTACCACGCTGCTCCAGAACAGTATGAGAAGCTGAAGGGAGACAGAATCTCCACTGTCTCTCAGAGCAGTTTCATCTCTTCCATCTGGAGGGGAACAGACTCACTTTGATGTAGAACTGTAAGCCGTTGTATGATCAGAGCCCATTCAGATATTAACATGGCTGGCTGGCCCACATCAACAACTCTTTGGGGAGAAGTTTGCTTATGTGGACAGTGTATCACATGAGGAGGGGCATTCTAGAGGTTAATAATGGAGAGAAGCGAATATGTGTAGCTCAGGGTTGAATTGTGGAGTCCTTGGGGTTCTCTGAGCTTGGTTGCTTTCTTGCAAATGTTTTGTGTTAATTGTCTCTAGAAAAAAATAAGCCTAAAGTAAAGATAAAAGCATCAAAGAGAGCCTACTACTTTAATTCTTGTATTAGTTATTCTTCTATTTTAATAGAGGTAAATGTCAAGATTTAATCTGGGTATAATTGAATTGCTAGAAAGTTTGGTCCTTTTTTAGCATAAAGATTAAACATTTATTACTCATGTTAGCTGACTTGGATGATGCGAAACCTTCCTAACAGTGGTCCAGTAAATCATTCCATCAGATAAATACAGTATTCAGTTTCAGTCCAAAGGTATTTGAATGAGGGAGATGCCAAATTAGCTCTTAGTAATTGGTGATCTTTATTCTCTCTTCCCTGCAGTTCTATTCTGCGGATGGACAGATGGTGGAAACATAGTCACCTCATTTTCCTGTTGTAAACTGCCTTGTCTGATTATGATTTCCTTCACTTCTAAGTTACTTTTCCTTTGTCTCTACTACTGCATATTCCAGGTTTAACTTTGCAGAGAAATGTGTACCTTCACTTTTTTTCAGCTTGCTGGAGTAGTCTTGTAATATAGAAGATACTGAGTAGACCAGGAAAAATCTTTAAAAAAAAGAGGGCTGGGGGGGGGGTGTTGTCCCCGTGAAAGCTGGAGGGAAAATTAAGCACTGGAGCATTTTGGAATTCCCATTAACAGCTTTAACTTAATTTGCAGTAATTCATTTAAAGATGCTTTAGGACACATTCCAATACTGAAAGCTTTGCAGTATGGTTGAAAAACCAAAAACAAAGATCCAAAAGATCTAAGATCATATTCCCTGTCTCTCTGGTGAAGCTAAGATGCCCATATCCTGCTTTCCAACCTGGTGAGCAAATATAGTGAGTCTCTGAAAGTTGCTGCAGTCACCCTTCTCCACCCTCTCCTTCTCTGGCTTGGCAAAATATATTTCCCCTTCTGTTGGGAGTACAATACGTTGTCTGCCGTTTCCTATTTAGAGGGCTTTGATGCAGGTTGGTTGCTACCCTGTAAGTTCTCTCCCTTCCTTGACCTGCGTGTAGCATGTTATGACCATCAAGCAATACTTGCCCAGAACACAGAAGGATGCAAAAGAGCCTGGAGCCTGGCAGTAGAGTCTGCTGGCTATTCCACTCCAGCTGAAGGACTGGGATTGCTATGGCACCAGCTGTGTGTTGTGGTGATGTTCACAAAGCATTGGAGAGCTGCCCATCATTAATCCATTGATTGCATTGTATGTGATTGTATCTGCATTGCATGTGAGTAGCTGCTCATTGCTACTGGCACAGTCCACACCTCACACACTGTGATGCGTATCATC